CGGGCTGCCCCTCCGGAGCCCGCCGTGCCGTGGAAACGGGCGTTTCGGGAGAGCGTTCCCAGGCAAAACGCCCGCGTTAAAGCGCCGAGGAGGGTGCGCGGCGCTCCCTGCCAGGGTGGTGTTTCAACTGTGCCGTTTCGCTTGCAGATCAGCAAAAAACGACAGTGATCGAAAACGGTGAGATCCGATTCAATGGAAAAGGGAAAAAGATTCGGAAACCTCGAACCATTTATTCTAGTCTACAACTGCAGGCTTTAAATCATCGCTTTCAGCAGACTCAGTACCTGGCACTTCCAGAGAGAGCTGAACTGGCAGCTTCATTAGGACTTACCCAGACACAGGTAATTACTGGGAATCCCAGTCACTGAAATCCTGCTCGAGCAATAAAGGCCAAGCAAAGTATGATGCTCCCTGAGCCGTTTTGGCCCCTGTACAGGAGCGCTAGAAAAGGTAACGCACACGATCCTGTATCGAACGTGATAGAGCTTATCTAACGCGCGCCAGAGAAAACGGTCTGCTGCCGAAAGTGCTGAACGTGCCTTTCCTTCAGCTGCCTGGGGAGCAAAGGCTCCCTTTTGATGTCACAAATAATAATAATAAAGTAAATTGCCTGTATTTCCGGGTGAGAATAATTCCAGCACCGACATGCAATTGCCCAGCTGCAAAAAGGAGACCAAAACAAAGGCGAGAAATCCCTGGGCCTGATGTAGGACTAAAAGAAAAGCCAGGTCGTAGCAATCTATAAGCAGAGAGAAAGGAAGAACACGTTAGGAAACACCTGTAAAATCAATAGTTAATTCGCCCTGTATGACTAACGCGAATGCAGTGGTTACCCTTGGGCAAAATGTACAAAAGGTGATAATAGATCTGAAGATCAAAGAGAGCCATGTACAAAATTATAGCAGGTTAAGCCATAGTTAAGTGTGGTTGGAGTAGCTGTGCCATTCGGCTAATTTAAGCTTGAAAGACACATGAGGCTCTCCAAGCTGGGGGTTGTGGAGAAACGCGTGGATAGATGAGATCAATTCGGGGGAAATGGAATCATGTAAATTTACGAGCTTAGCAAATAATTTCAGTATTTGTCACTGTCATTTATAACAGTAGCTCCCAGACCAGCGATTTTTAAATATTCAGCAAACATTAATCGTGGAAATAGAGCTGATGATGAAACAAATGTGTGTTTGGTATATTTAGCATGCACATGCTGCCTCTCTCTGCATTCTCTTTCTCAGACGTAGATTTAGGGGCCCGATCCTGAAAATACAGACGGAGCAGCAGGTCCTACTTGTGTCCTTACGTTGCATCTACAAAGTTTGCAAGGTCAAATAAACATTTTGGGAGATGTTCGTGAAGAAAAAAAAAAAAAAAGCTTCAGATAAGGCACACGTGTATATGTATTTATATAATAATTCTGATATGCCAGAGAGGGCCCAATCCTTGCATCCTTTATCCAACGCTGCCTCCCTCCCGGGGAGCATTCCTGAATTAAGGACAGCAGGATGAGACCAGAAGGAATCTCGATAACCAATTACTCTCTGATAAAGGATGCTTTTCATTTCTTTAAAAAGGATTTTTATGATAAAGTCCTGCTTCTCTGAAGCGTCCCCATATGAACGAGGGCCGCTTGATCACGCCTGTTTTGGGATGCGCGAGTTCCTTGTGCGATGCCCTTTGTCCATTGGCTCCTGTCTCCTGGCACGACACCATACGGTGGCCCGTGTTTGACAACAGTTAGCCCCAGTTATCAAATGTCCTCCTAATTCCCACGCACTGATGCGCGCACACGTGTACACGGGTGTGCAAAGCAGGACACTCACTTCGTGCCAGCCTGGCCTGCCCAGGGGGTCAACGCTCCACGTTAACATTCGTGCCTCGCTTCGCAGCCCTGCTCTTGCTCCCTCTTTCTCCAGTGACACCCGGCGCCTGGGCAGCCCTAGGGAGCCTCCTGCTCCCGCTGCCCACGCTGACACGCGGGTCGCGCGGCCGCTCGAGGCCCTCCGAGCGCGGCCGGAGCGCTCGGGCTCGCTCCTGGCTGCTCGCAGCGGCCTAACATGTGCTGCCTTTTGCTTGCAGGTGAAGATCTGGTTTCAGAACAAACGCTCCAAGTTTAAGAAGCTGCTGAAACAGGGCAGCAACCCGCACGAGAGCGACCCCCTGCCCGGCTCTGCGGCGCTGTCCCCCCGCTCGCCAGCCCTGCCTCCGGTCTGGGACGTTTCAGCTTCTGCCAAGGGAGTGAACATGCCTCCCAACAGCTATATGCCCGGCTATTCTCACTGGTATTCCTCCCCACACCAAGACACAATGCAGAGACCGCAAATGATGTGAAGTGTCCAAGAGAAATAATCTCCCAAGATTATTTGCCTCGTCTCGACATGGCAAAAAAAGTCCCCCGCTTTGCCAAGCCGTGCCAGCCAACAGGCTCCGTGTGAACTTGTAGATGCGGCAAGGAGACAGAGTGGCTTCATTTGATTTGATTTTATTTTTTTAAAGTAACCTCAGCGATTGATCTCGAACAGAAAGACACAATTTTCATTCTGGCGCACAGAAGACACTTCTCTTTAGGATATTTTCATTTGGACTCCAAGGCACCAGCCTCTTTCTCTGTGGAGTATACGTCAAAACAAACTTTTTACAGACTTTGCCCGCAAGAAGAACCTGAGTCTACAGTGGCCACCGTTTTTACTTGTTTAATGAGCTAAGGACGTTACAGGATGAAAGCGAGACTAGACTGCTTCGTTTCTCTATTCACCAAATCCGGACTGGGGAAAAAATAAAAGAGAGAAGAAGGGATAAAAAAACATGAAGAAGAAAAAAAAAAGAGAGAGAGAACTGGGTGAAAATGCGAATATTCTGTAAGATTAGGACATTTCCACGAAGCGAAACATGCATGCTTTATCAAAACGGAATTGGCTGCAGCTCCGAGAAAAGCGCTGCGTCTCCCGCGAAGAGCCCCCCTCTCTCGCACAGACACTCACACTCACTTGCAAACTCTCACTCACACTCACACGCGCAGAACCCTGGAAACCAACGGGAAAAGCAGAAGAAGGAGGAACCCGCGGAGCCCCCGCCGTCCGCGCCCGGAGCGGGGCTGGATTGCCGGCATTTCACTCCCTGAACACAGGGACCTATCTCCCGAGCCACCTTTCTGTATATATTGTTGAATTTTAGTTGTATATATACTTTGTATGGTTTTGTCCTCTTTCATATATAGAGTAAAAGCCACAAAACGCCCGCGTGCCTCGTGCTTCTCTCGCCGCGGCTCCCGCGCGCGCCCCGCGGCCGCCTCCGCGCTCCCCCCGCCCCGCAGC